CCGGGGTAGAATAGGCCTTCAGCAATCCATGCTTGCCGTAAAAGACGAATATGCTTGTCGTAAGAGGCGACCAACGGGATCGGGTGACTTGGTTAAATTACTCTTAATGTAAAAATATTTTACATTAAGGGTTGCGGGTTCACCCTTGTTACAATGTAATTTTTGTCCACATTAAGGGTTGAAGTGATAGATAAAAAAAGTTTACATTAACGGTTATCCCTGTGAAATAATACTTATCGAACTTTCATGAAACTTCGCAGATTTAATTGATCATTACTTTGTCTAGATGTGCAAATGACTAATCATTTTTAGATTCCCTCTCTGCAACGACCACCTGGTTGTTATATTCTGGCTTCATAAAAGGGTTTATGACCCTTAACCCCTTTCACCGATTTTTATCAAAGTTACTGTTTTACAAAGGTTATTTTTCGATACTCTGCAAGACGACCTCGTTACTATCCTAATACCGTAACGACGGAAAGGGGGACTCAGACCAAGCAGATCAGACCAAGTTGTAGATGATGGTTGGTTGTTAGAATGGTCCATTAACAGAGTTTCAGGCATAAAATAATGGACATTTTGATGCAGTATTACGGATATGTCAGCTAAGCATACACCAGAATCACCAGAAAGGAATTTCAATGCAATGATGTTTGGTTAAAAAAACAACCGTAGGTTCCTCAAGTACCGTGCCGAGTCAAATAGTTTATATATTTCGGATATGAAGTCTATACCTTTTCTATAGCAGTTTAACATATCCTGTAGTAAGACCATTGTTGATTGAAAATCGCAAAAAAGAGCATTAGGCATACGGCCTGTAGGGTATTTCATGTCAGTTAGGAACCGACCATTCGAAACTCTGTTGGAGGTGACATAAGCTCACCACGGAATTTCGTACAAGGTGAGCTGTAAATGCTTTCTTCTTTAAACATATGTTAGGTATAAATCGTATTGTGCATCGTATATCGCGCTTTGGATAATTTTGACACTTTTTGCTTGTTTTTGCACGGGCGACAATGCGAAAACGCGACAATTCTCCCTTGAGGTATTCCATATACAACCGCAACATATTATAACATCTTTGGGGGTAAACGAGATTCCTGCATATTATAAAGAGACAGCCAATATTCAAAACAGCTAGCGACTGAAAAGAACATTTGCCAGACTCGGTTCTATGTCACTGAACCCCCGACAGTTGGCACAAGAACTGCAGGCAGAGTGAGTGAACATTCCCCAGGCTACATTTCGGGATCTGACTGCTTCCATGGGACGACGATGCTAGTCTGTGTTTGACTCTCATGGTGGCCATACAAGATATTGAATTCTACTGTTCCGTGTGTGCCATATCGAACCTGAGTCAATGACAATGACGTTTGCCAATTTTAGACAATCGGTTACCATCTATTGATAATTTATATGATATATCAAATATATACCAGATAACAAGACATATAGAACTCTTATATCGAGGAGCTAGGGTATATTGCTAGGTCTCACATATCTTCTCAATTATATACTTCTCGTTCTGTTTCTATGGCTCGCGCTGTGGTTTTAAACTCCTTAGCGTCAACCTTATTGTCCTGATCTGGCTCTGAGACCTCCATCTAAATAAAGCTCTAGTTGGAGCCCATTTCGACTCGAAGGATGACATCATAGCACCTCATGACAGCCAAGAGACTTCTACGAAACTAGGATAAAATCCCCTTCATGTGGAAAGGGATTATGATGAAAATGTTCCCAACTTTGTCTTTCATCTCTGACGTGAAGCAGGTTTATCGTTAGAGGTAGGTAGATGTGGCAACAAAAGGGGACATAACTCGTCAGATAAATTATGTCACTCCCCCAGCAAAATATGAATTTGTAATATTTATTTGCAATAAAATTTCTAATCATTACGTTAAGATGATGAGAAAACATCGAAATGAGAAAAAGCAATAAACGGACTTGTTGTTAAAAAAAAGCAATGATTACAATAGTTACAATACGAATAGTAGTACTTTAATCATTATTCACCATCATCACATATATTCAGATCTTATAGACTGTGTTACAAATATAACGTAGTTGTGTTCGGTTTGCACGTCGGTTCGGTCAAATGGGAATTTTCTTTGACACGTGAGTGAGTTATACTTTAACATCGAATCTACTGTTCAGAAACCTACTGGTCAAAGCGGAGTTAAAACCCAACTCACAACTACTACTACTGCCGCTGCTACTACTACTACTACTACTACGACCCCGACGCCGACTGTTACTACTACTGCTGCTGCTACTACTACTGCTGCTGTTACTACTACTACTACGACGACGACGACGACTGCTACCACTACTGCTGATGCTGCTACTACTACTACTGCTGTTGTTGCTGCTACTACTACTACGACTGCTACAGCTGCTACCCCTACTACTGCTACTACTACTACTACTACTACTGCGACTACTTTGCCTCTCTCAGAATAGATACAATAAATGATGCATGTTCTGCTGTGACACTTAATCGATCATGATCGTGAACCACCAACTCAAAAGAATCAATGTAGAGAAAAACCTAGACAGATGTTGTTCTCATTTCGCTGAGCTGCGTGACACGTGGGATTGAGAAAAAATATACTGGTAGTTAAAAAACTGGGCTTGAGAAAACAATAAACTTGTAGTTAACAAACTGGGATTGAGAAAACAATAAATAATTAAATCATGCATACGCAGTGAACACTCCAGAACATTTCCAGGATTAAACCCCATTTGACACACTCGGATTCATTTTACAATGATGTACACAAAATATATATAGACGATGATGAGAATTTGTTTTGTATATTTTGGGGCAATAAAACATGGACACGAAGACATTCGGCTAATACAACAGCACTCAGTTAAAAGGAAAGTTGATGTATAATTCACAAAATAGGATTCCTGTGGTGAAAATGATATCCATGTTTATACATATGAAGTCGTCTAGGTATGATAATATCTGAACTTAAACTTGATTCATTAGTGGAACATTGATGGCCCAGTCGTGTTAGGTGCCACACTTCGCCGTGCACTGAGTTGTGTCCCTTATGGCGTATGATCGTAGGAATCCCAGTTTGGTCCTGAGTGTGTTTCTAGGTTTGTCAACAACATACCCGTGATCATGGGTTTGGTAAACGTCTAAAACATGTGTAGCTTCAGGATTTTCTCCCACAATAGCTGACATTTGGTGCTATAACTGTGATAATAGTGTATACTGTCTCAGTCTTTCAGTCTGAACTTCAGATGCCATCTACACCAAGGCGTGCCTGACGGTGACGTGGAAGCAAAATCAAGCGTGTCGCTGGACGTTGTGCTCCCTCAACCTATTGCTTACGGATCTGCCACTACTTAATCTCAAACCAGGTATTGTCCGTGTTCTGAATGGGGCAGTTTGGTGTCGATTCCTTAGATGCACCAACCGAATGTGGTGTCTTGTCGAGGTGGCGTCACACGTGGACAACCGGCCCGTAGCAAGTCATGAATGTTGCCCTGCTGTAGATAACATCTCCAAAGAGGTGATATTGTGTTTCGAATGACATTAAAGTGTCTGACAACTTCGTTATTCTTCATTCCTGTTTTCAGCATACACACGGCGTGTAGACGGTGATTTTCAGCAAGGCGTGGCATTGCGTAAGTGTTATTTACGGTTGAACAAAAGTGTTTTTATGACCACCCGATAGCTAAACATTCATAATAAGCTGTCATAATTACCAAAAAATCACTTGTGTTAGTATCATACTCCCAACAAACACAGAAACATCCCAAATTGTGCGCCGTACTTAACATGCACGTGCAAATTGAATCAAGACCTTAATGTATGTGTTGAAAGATATGATTTAATTTCAGAATAAAACTATTCTACTAAACTTTATGAAGCACAGTTACTTTTTCTGTAAGCAAACATTCATCCATTACATTGTAAAAATCTTGCATTCTGCTGGCTTTTCAGTATCAATTATTAGTAAAAAATATATATTTGAAAGCACAACTTTCTCAAACCCGACAGACAGGCAATTTCAAACATTGTTTCTTGGTTGTTGTTTTCTTAACAATAGTCAGTAAAATATCCGATTTCTATCCTTGAGATCTATTAATTCTGGATCAGACAGTGGTTGATATCACGAGCAACGACGTCGGGGTACGGTGACGCAGACACTGATTCTGACCACCCAATCCATTCAATCGCATGTCACAATAAACATGGGTTGCTCGGGAACAGTTGAATCCGGAACCGCTGTGACGATGTCTATTCAACAGATAATCCCACGAAAAACAGCATTACTATAGGATGGTATACAGAGAGCTACATCAATTTCATGTCTGCAGTATCAATTGAACTTGTTTGTGGGACCGTTACAATAGTCCAAGCAAGGCATAGATGATTTTTTACCTGATATATGAGTCATTTAGTATCAACGTGATTATCAATAAACAGGTTTTGCACGAAGATTTGATTCCTGTAAATTCCAATTGTTCAGTTTTAAATACAGCAGGTTTCGGTTTGAACTCTTCGCTTGGCCAAACAAATAGTTTCACAAAATTACATACACTAACAAACATTTCATGGCAGTAAATACGTTCCCATGATATTTGTATTACCACTCAACCAGTGGTCGTGTTTCAACCAGAACAATGATGAACGCGCTAACATGACCCAGTTATTCTATACCCATACCCAGATTTAACTTCCGGGTGTGCTACGTACCCCACAGACGTGTACACAGACACATCTCCACATTACATATAACACTACAGTACTGTCACTGCTATCAAAATGGCATGGCCTGATGTAGTTGACAAGATACACATGTGCTTATACTGCAGGCATATATCAAGAAACATGTTACCAGTATGAAGTCAACTCAGGGTGTAATGTGTAAGTTAGATCGCATTTATCTAACAAAGCACTTTACAGACAGATCTGACACACTGGATACCCAGCCCCATCCAGGAAAACACGAGGCAAAAACACCTGCACACAACATTACCTTGCTTGTGATGAGATTCTGGTAAACGTAGTCCGAGAACTGTCTGAATACCCCGTGTTTCACGTAGACACAATGACAACCTGTGTGATCCCCTCTAGTTGGGTGGGACACTGTGCACAAAGTACAAAGTCCATGACATGTCTATGTGCGTCGGCAGTCATTTGTTATCTTGGGTCAAAAGTTTGTTAAAGGGTTTTTAAAAAGGATACGAATTGAGCATAATTCTTACATAATGCCATTTAAACATGAATTTATACTAAATCTGAAGTATCAGGTGTCATGAATGTGTTCTTTTATAACATTCAATATATTTGTTCTGGTCAGAATCAAATTTTATTTTATTAATTCCGTAATTGTAACCATTTTAGGTTTCATAGTGATCTTTGAATAATCATTTCAGACAAATATTAACAGATAATCTTCTTCCAATTACCAAGGCCATCATATCTCCATTCTATTATGATAAACACCCTGTATCTTCCGAATTATTGAGAAAGCTGACAAGGTGAATTGGCGCAGATCAACCTTGGTGCACCTGAACCAAGTAGAAAGCTGATCTACCGTGAGGTTGACAATAGTCTCCAGATACTGAAAGATCAACTGCACCAAGGAAGGAAAAGTCCAATCCAGTTCCTTGATGCTGCAGGTCACCTATTGAAGCTTGGATACCCATTATCCGCCATTATGATGCGTTGAATGTTGAATTATGTTATTAATTCTTGTTAAATATGGTTCTTATTTATAATATCATGTTGAATAAACCATACTAATTTATTAATTACTTTTCTGATGTACAATTTGTTTTCTTACAATCTGCAAATGAATTAGCACAAGTTCATTCATAATTATAATCCTGGTGTTCCCTATAATTTCAAACTTAAACATAAACACAGTTAATGATCTGTGTGGAACAGTTCATATTGACAGGTAGAAGGCAGGGGATTTGTGGTCCTGTCATGCACATCCTATATTGTTATAAGCTGTATGACACATGGCCTGTATGACTGATGGCACGATACCGTATCAACAGAATATGATTGATGGCTTCCCACTCACTCTGCGCTGCTGCACATACATATCTGGAGACAAATCCAGTTTTGCGAAATAAATTACATGCTGAGCTTTTGATTGGACAAAACCCTTGCTGACGTAATCCTGTTAATCGAAGCAATCATGTCCAGTTGGTCCATGGTATTTATCGCAATTGAATGGACATGCAATAGCCAGGATCTTGATGGGATATTATAAGATTTATGATTCAGGGAATCTAATAAATAACATTGTGAGAATATGTCCACAGCTCTGACCTGTACTATCCTCGTTAAAATATGTCAACACATAATCTTGTGCATGTATTTACATATTATTTTGACATTTCTTCTTAACTATAGTGGCAGTTCCTAAGGCAAAATTATATCTCACAAGACGCATTCAGACATTATCTGTCAGTAGAACCATAAGTCTGATGTATGAACTGAAATCATAAGTGTCTAATGTATGACCTAAAATCATAAGTGATTGATGTATTTAGGTGGTCTATAGTACTTGAATTCTGCCACTTCTTCAGATGGAAAGTATTCCCTTGTTGCAATTACCACAAATGATGGTACAGGACGACGATAATGTTTATTAGCCTTCCATGGATCCATCTGGTAAATCGGTTGTATGCCACATGACTAGTGTTCTTAATCGGTGATATGAAATTGTATAAATTTGTTACCATACCGGAATAAATTATGTTCAGATGTCATAATTCATTGCTACTCGATCTTGGTTATTATGGCCAGCACGTATCTGTGAAGTCCGTGTACACATTGTATTAATTGAGCACTTTTGTATGTTAAGAAATGGTATGCAAATTAAATATTTTCACCTTCAGTTTTGTGCTAGTTATTCCTTAATTTGATCGCAGGTCTTTGGAACTGATCACACTTTATTCACTCGCTGACAGTTTAGAAGAATATCTGATGCAGTACAATGATAAGGAAATGTCAATATTAATCTATGCAGCAAAATTTACTATGGTTATAGTTATTATCATCAGTAAAGAAGGAACATACTTATGAAGTGGTTCGTTATCGTGTTATGGGCCTGCCAAGCTGACTTCCAGGAGCGTCAACTGTATGTTGGTGAACTTTACTGAGAATCTTTCATGTTGAGTTACGAAACCCAAAGGTTCAGCTCCATTTTCTCTCTCGCCCCAGCAGTAACATGCAAACATTTGGACTCAGTTCGCGTTGACATGGCCATGCCGTTGCCACAGTCACACCTACCAACAAAATTATGATCTAGCTAATAATATGCAAACCTATAATTTCTTCATGGAACAGTTCCCTTGAAATAACGGCATTATTACAATAACAACCCAAATCCTGTAAACATGCGAAACGCACGATCGTCGCACGAGTTAAATACGTATGCATGAATGTTAGGGTGCCTTATTAGAACACACGAGAAAACACCGGAAAACACATTCTTTTTCCTACGTTTATCTTTAAAACAAATGCCAAGAATCCCCAAATACACTCGTGACAGAGCCATCGGAATGTTGCAAGTAGGCATGCGTACTGCAGACGTTGCATTACATGTTGGTGCGTCCGTGAGGCCAGTACAACGTCCGAGGGAACGTTACAATGCAACTGGAGTCCGAGAGTTGACGTCCACGTCTAACAACGCCAGCTATAAACCGCTATATTGGGACGTCACATTTACGCAATCGTTTTCTCCCATCAACTGTGACTGCACTTAACAAACTGTTCGCAATCGGCTGTGACAATATGGTCTCAGATCCAGGGGCCATACGTTTGGCCAGTTTCTAGCCAACGTCGAGAGTGGGCTCGTGCACGTCTGCGTTAGACTCGACGTTAATGGCAGAGCGTGCTCTGTAGTGACGAATTCTGTTTTTCACTCTCCAGAGGTGACGGTCGACGTTGGGTGTATAGACGGATGAAGGGAACGTTATGCTGACGCTTGTGTTTCTGACAGAGATCGTTTTTAAGGAGCTGGATTGGAATTGTTTGGGATGGAACTGCACACGGTCATAGCACAGCTCTTGTTCCTATTTGTAACAATATGAATGCGATCCGCTACAGGGGCGAGATTCCTGCTCAGCATATGCATGGTGTCCCTTACCTCAACGCCGTTTCAGCATGGCAATGCCACAAGTCACACCACGCGCATCACACGGGACTTCCCGCAGGCTAACCACGTGGATGATATGCCTTGGCCGGCCAAACGTCCGGACCGTGAATATCCAGGGTAGAATAGGGCTTCAGAAACCTATGCTTGCCGTAAAAGGCGACTTTGCTTGTCGTATGTTGGTATGACGTGTGACATTGCCGATTGTGTCGCACCGTGTCCAAACAGCATGCATCGTTGCTCATGCTGTCAATCACTGATTTCTCTGGCCCAGGCTGCCAAGATGCAGTTGAAATATTGCGGACTGAGCCGTAAAACAACATGCACGCAGTAATTGTAAACCGTTAAACCCTGTTAATCCAGATAGAACCTGGTTCAGTGTAATCGATCCACGGGTTCGTATTCAAATATATCTGTGACGTCCTCCATTGTTTAAGAGCTCCATTATTTTTTAAGAATGTGGTTGGCTATCAATTACACTTTCTATTGAACCAACATTTCGGTTGATTGTCACTCGGAACAGACTGATCTATAGTTCTTATTTGACAATCAAGTGAATGATTACTAATGTTATCGGAGCATGTGTCTCCAGCGTGGCTAGAATCCGATTAGTATGATTTGATGACGTGTGATAGTTGACCTCGGATACGGCGACACGTCACAGTGAAATTAGCTATTTTATCATTTCCAATATCCAAAATCCTTAAAAGCTCAGAACGTGATATGCATAATGTCGTGTTACATCCTGTTACCTGTTACAATGTTCGCGTTTAAAAAAGCTAGATAAACCTTTGACGAGAAGAAACTAAGGATCAGATAAACATATAAATCCTTGTACCAAATATATTTGGGATAACACTGGCAGTGTGGGTTGGAATCCCGGACGGGACTCAACTAAAAAACGTATGAGAATCTATACTTTAATAAAGAAAGTGTTATCCCAAATATGTTACATTTGTTACACTTTCTAAATGGCATTGTGTGTGCAATATATATCCTTGTCAGGGCCCATTAATTCTAGTTACCGTGTATTTAAAACGTGCAAGCGATTTCAAAAGTACACGCTTAGGTCCCCACGTAATTGGATAGAGTCGTGAACCTCGTATCGTTACGATCAGCTCTCGACGAAGCCTTTGCGCACGTGCAACAGCAGCAGAAATCATAATCCACGTACATCACATCACGACTCAAACACTGTAAATACAGGCGACAAACATTTCTGGTTAAGTTTTCAAATAATTTGTTTGAGAATGTTTTGTCAAAGTATTAACGGTAACGGTGTGTTTTAAGGAGAAGAATAGCCTATGTAGTCAAAGGTCCAATATTTTCAAGGATTGAAGAGTTACTAAACACCATGTGCAGAGCTGCGTAAGTCAGGAGTGCCTGGATCCTATTATCGTGGGTTCAAATCCCAGATGGGAGATGGAGGCATAGAGGAGAGGAGTGTCTGACAGTGATGAGGAGATGGTGATAGGAGAAGGTGATGCGAGGGGAAGACAGTGGTGTCTCTTCAGTGAGGAGGAGATGGTGGTGCGAGGGGAAGACAGTGGTGTCTGTCAGTGAGGAGGAGAAGGTGATGCGAGGGGAAGACAGGGGTGTCTGTCAGTGAGGAGAAGAAGGTGATGCGAGGGGAAGACAGGGGTGTCTGTCACTGAGGAGGAGAAGGTGATGCGAGGGGAAGACAGGGGTATCTCTTCAATGAGGAGGAGATGGTGGTGCGAGGGGAAGACAGTGGTGTCTGTCAGTGAGGAGGAGAAGGTGATGCGAGGGGAAGACAGGGGTGTCTGTCAGTGAGGAGGAGAAGGTGATGCGAGGGGAAGACAGGGGTGTCTGTCAGTGAAGTGGAGAAGGTGATGCGAAGGGAAGACATGGGTGTCTCTCAGTGAGGAGGAGAAGGTGATGCGAGGGGAAGACAGGGGTGTCTGTCAGTGAAGAGTAGAAGGTGATGCGAGGGGAAGACAGGGG